CACACACACACACACACACACACACACTAATAATGGATTCAGTTTAACTTTAAAAAGGGTAATAATCAAGGATATGTAGAAGATGCAAAAAGTGTCTGAGTGTGGTGTTACTCTAACAATGGATATGTGGATGTACTGGTCATGGCACACATCTTTCATCCCAGCACTTGGAAGGCTGAGGCAAGAAGACTGGCATAGTGCACAGTGAATTCCAGGCCAAGCTGAGCTACAGAATAGGATCTCTCTTTCCCTCTCTCTCTCTCTCTCTCTCTCTCTCTCTCGCTCTCTCCCTCTCTCCCTGCCTCCCTCCCTCTCTCCCTCCCTCCCTTCCTCTGTCTTTCTTCTTCCTTCCTTCCTTCCTTCTTTTCTTCTTTCCTTCCTTTTGTTTTTTGAGGTAGGGTTTCTCTGTATAGCGCTGGCTGTCCTAGAACTCACTCTAGGACCAGGCTGGCCTTGAACTCAGAGATCCACCTGCCTCTGCCTCTGAGTGTTGAGATCAAGGGCGTGTGCCACCACTGCCTGGTACAGGACCTGTTTCAAAAAGTGAAAACAAAGAGCAAAAACAATGATACAGACTATTGTTTCTAGGAAGTCTCACTATATCTACATGCAATGAATAAAGAAACATAAAAATGTACTTCGTAGAGCATTATTGTTTATTATGAATATCAAGTGAATAAAACCCCAACAATGGGTGTGCATATCGATATATGTAGTATGATTCTAGTTTTTTTAATCCCTGTATCCTTGTGTGTGAATGTGTAAGTGGCATGTGATTGTAATAATGTGGCCATATTTTAATTTATTGTATTTTGGCATTTTACACACAGAAGTCAACAGTTTCTAGACCCAAGGAGGGGAAAGGCACTTCTGAAAGAAAAACTATAAGTCTTTTGGGCTATTAAAAAAGAAGGAGGAGCCGCTTGGGAGGTGGTGGAGCACGCCTTTAATCCCAGCACTCGGGAGGCAGAGGCAGGCGGATCTCTGTGAGATTGAGGCCAACCTGGTCTACAAAGCTACACAGAGAAACCCTGTCTCAGGAAAAAAAAAAAAGAATAATAAAAAAATAAAAAATGGGAAAACTACCGTAATGTGAAAATTTAAAAATGAATATATTTTACTTATTATTTATCTATGTGTTTGTTTGTTTTGATGTTTTGAGACAGTCTTGCTGTATAGACCTAACTGCCTGGGACTGCTATGTGGACCAAGTAAACTTTAAACTTTCGGTCAATCCTCTTGCTTCTGAATATTCAGTGCTGGTATTACAGGATGAGTGACCATACCCAGCTAAAAATATTCTTATTTTAACATCAACTGTGTATTGGAAAGCCATAGGTGCATTCTGTCAGTCACTGTCTCTGAGTGCTGGCTCAGCTTAGTATTTTCAGTCACAAATATTCAAGAAGGACTGGTTAAGTTCTTAAGGCTCAGAAACAATTCTCTTTGTTGTAGGGGAGGAGACAGCTTTTGTGGATAGAGGTTTCTGTTCTGCCTGGTCCCGAAGCCCTTTAGTCCCAAATAAACACACAGTGGCTTATATTAATTATAAAATATTTGGCCAATGGCTCAGGCTTCTTATTGGCTAGCTCTCTCTTAATTATTAGCCCGTTTCTATTAAACTCTGTATTGCAATGAGGCTGTGGCTTACTTGTAATGCTCTGGCATATTACTCCTTTGACGGCTACATGGCATCTCCCTGGGACTCTCCTCTTGTCTTTCCTTTTCACAGAATTTTCCTAGTCTGGTAGCCCCACCTATACTTCCTGCCTGGTTCCTGGCTAATCAGCATTTATTCATCAGCTGATAAGAGAAACATATATTCACAACATACAGAAGGACATCCCCCATCAGGTTTGAGGTTAAGGAGAAGGGCAGTGTCTGAGATGCCATGGTAGTGATGGGGCTGTGTTGGAACAGAAAGGTTTTCTAGTTGAAGGGTCTCAGACAGTCTCCATCAAGACTTACCTCTCGAGGGCAAGGCATCTCTTGAGTAAGACAAGGAGCGCCTCAGCTGAGGATAGGACTGCTACTTCCAAATGAACGTCCACAGCTCTCAACCCAATAGGAGAAGTAAGGCGAGGAAAGCATCCACTATCCCAGGTCTTGAGTGTTTGGGTCTCCTTCTGGCTAGTTTTTAATGTCAACTTGACACGAGCTAGAGTCAGTTTTGAAGAGGGAACCTCAATTGAGAAACCCGGATTGGCCATGGGCAGGCCCGTGGTGCATTTTCTTGATTGATGTATTGATGTTGAAAGGGCCCAGATCTCTATGGGAAGTACCACTGCTGGACTGATGGTCTTGGGTGCTACATGAAGGCAGGTGGAGCAAACCATGAGGAGGAGGCCAGTAAGCAGCACTCCTCCATAACATCTGCAGTGGTTCCCACCCTGACTTCCCTGGATGATGGAGTCTACAAGCTGTAAGATTAAATCAACCCTTTCCTCTCCAAGTTACTTTTGGTCATGTTTTATCACAGCAGTAGACACTAACTGAGCCAGGCCCTGTGACCAGGCTTTGTCTTTCTTGGGGGTTGGCATGTTTTTGGTGTTTATTAGTAGGTGAGCATTATTCGATATCACCTAAGAGTCTCAACGTCAGGAGATAGGTAGCCTTTCTACTCCTCACTTTACACACAAAGACTCTTGCAATACTTCTAGCAGCTTCCCAAGGCAGAGTGGCCTATGGCACAGCCAGGCTTTGATCAAGGTGGAGCCCATGTTCCTAGCCATGACACTTGTTGTCCTTGTATAGAGTTGCTCTACTGAAGTCTGTGTCTGTCCAGTTTGCCTCTACTTTTTGCATGCCCCTTTTCTTCAAGAACTGCTTTTCTAGCCAACTCCCCAAAGGTCTCTTGCCTGTAGGAACCCCTATTCCCAAGACTGTTACTGCACCAAGTGGAGACCGTCTGACCAGTGACTCTCTGTGTATCCACCTCCCTCCAAAAAGCTCCTGAGAAGTAGGAACTTGTTGTTTTCTTTCCCATTATTCTCCATTTCTTCCCTCCAAAGTGTCTGGAACATGGTAGATGCAATTAGTACTTGACAAGAAACAAGCTTGTAGATGGCACTTTACTTCCTCACTTGATCATGGTATCGTGTGTTGACCTAGGTCACCACTCTCCTGCCTCTTGAAAGGAATGGATTTCAGAAACTGTCTTTACAAGATTGCTGAAAACCTGGATAGCAGTGAACTGGCTGCCCTCAAGTTTCTGTGCTTGGACTACATCCCACAGAAGAAGCAGGAGCCCATCAAGGATGCCCTGATGCTATTTCAGGTACTGCAGGAAAAGGGACTGTTGGAGGAAGACAATCTGTCCTTCCTGAAGGAGCTGATTTTCCTCATCAATCGGCTGGACCTGCTGAGCAACACCCTAAACAGCAGCAAGGAGGAGATGGTGAGGGAGCTGCAGGTTCCAGACAAAGCCCAGGTTTCTGCCTACAGGTGGGTAGAAGTGCCAGGAGCATGGGCTGAAAGGGTGTGACTTTGGATGCTGCTGCTGCGGTCTATATTGTGAGGTGACTGGCCAGTCTCTGGGCTGAATATATAACTCAGAGAAAAATGCGGAAGCCGTAAAATCATTTGTTTTCATGCAGCATGGCACAGAAGGGGACTACTGGGGAGGAGAAGGGATTTGGCTGCAGAAGGATAAGACAGGGAAATGTGTGCCGGTGGAGTGGGTGTGTGGGTGTGTGTATGATCAAAGCCCTATGCGTGCCAGTTACTTTCCTGTTGTTGTGGTAAAATGCCATGAACAAAATTAATTTATAGAAGAAGAGTGTAGTTTGTCTTTCTGATTACACCTTTTTTTTTGGACCACCAGCCCCCAAATAGTGACATAGAGACTTACTGTTAATTAGGAAAGCTTGACCTTAGCTTGGGCTTGTTCCCAACTAGCTCATGTAATTTAAATTAGCCTGTTTCTATTAATCTACATTGGCAAATTTGGAGAAAATACTCTTATCTATCCTATCTTGATGAATCCAAAACTTTTACCTAAACCACTTTCTATCATAACTTGTATTACCAGCCTAAAAATTATCCTTTTAAACCTTAAAACATTTTCTTAAACAACTAAGCCTTTATGTTTCTCAACCTTTATAAACTTTACATCTCTTTTGTAACTTTCTTTTTTGAATTTGGTAGCAAAGAAAGCGGTAAAACTCTAACCATCTAGTCTAACCATCAGAGACCTGTGGAGGATAAAATATTACCTAAGTAATCAGGAAATGCAGAGCAAACAACTTCAAAACTATAGAAATGACAGAAACAGCTGGCCTCCTGGAAAGTCACCCAAATTTCCCCTGCAGCATTGTAGCATCCATCTCCTAGAAATATATGATGGACTTTTTCTGTGAGGCAGGAATTTTGAAGAACTGTCCTACCTTGTTTTGGCAAAGTTTGGCAGTTGCCATCTTTTGTGGCCTGCTTGTCCAGTTTGGACAGCACGCTGTCAGCAGTCGAGTGAAGGGCAGCTTCTTGTCCAGTGACTAACTTTGTCACAAATGAAAGCACACTCCATATAGAGGTTCTTCAATGCCCATCATCTTCTCAGATGTAGATTGGTGCTGCCAGGAGCAAATGTATCTCACTGTTACGAAAAGCCTTATGTTATTAAAACAAATTAAATGTCATATTCAGTTGGTCTCTGAAGTGTTTGAAGATCAACTATCTGTCTAGAATATATCTCTGTATGACCTTGAAAACTTATCTCTAACATGACTACAAGTTTGGTTGTTATAGATGGCTAACTACTAACCTGTATTTCTTAATTATCCTAAATAGTTTATAATAATAGTTTTCAAAGACTAGAACTTTATATTACAGTTTTAAATGAGCTGCATAGGTACAATACCTTACACTATGTTGAAAGAAAAATAACCTTAAATTTGTATCAATATACAAAAATACCTTAAACAAGAGTAGAAACATAGGAATATGTTATAACAAAATAACCTTAAATTTGTATCAATATACAAAAATACATACCAATGTAAAATATTTGAGATTAATAGTTCTTTTAGCTTAAAAGTAGATTTCAATAATCTACCCTTTTATCCTATTATTCCTATATCTCCCTTTTTCTTTTCAAAAAGATATCCCTGAATCTAACTTCCTTTGCTTAGTTTTTTTCCCTGACCACGACCCCTCTAAACAACAGCAAGCATCCACAACCCATCAAATGACTAAAAGCCACCCACCCCACCTCTAGGGAATGTGGGCATTGTGTTCTTAAGATTACTTCCTATTGTCTGGGGGTGACAGCATCTTTAGGGTACCCTGAGAAAATTGGCATAATGGTCAAGTCCTGGGAGAGCTAGCTGTTGTCCAGTCTGGGTATGATGAGAAAGTGCAGAGCTTATCTGAAATCCTGGCTGGAGTCATCTGTGAGGCTGTACCATCTCAGCTAGCAGCTTTGAAGTTGTTATGGATGCATATTTTTGAGGAAACTGTAACAGAGGCATTCTGAGAGGCTGGATCACCTGTGCTACTTACTTACCTTTATTTGTCTCTTGTCTTTTTTCTTCTGAAAACACACAAAGGTAGCATGCGTGAGCATGAGCTGCATAGGTACAATACCTTACACTATGTTGAAACAAAAATAACCTTAAATTTGTATCAATATACAGAAATACCTTAAACAAGAGTAGAAACATAGGAATATGTTATAACAAAATAACCTTAAATTTGTATCAATATACCTTACAAGTATGGAATATGTGGTGTGCACAAATCAGCTAAAGATGATTCTCTGTTCTATGCTTGATCATGTAAAAGACATCTGTTAACTTTGTAAGTTCCTTTGGACTACATAACCAAACAGTAACATAAATCTCCTTCCATGCCACATGAAAGGATGGCATGTGATAATAAGTCATAAGGGCTCTGTAGCTAAGATTTATAATGTCTCAGCCTATCTCAGAGCTGTTCCCATATAGAGGGACCAGCACATACATCATCTGTCTTGTAGATTTTCTTTGGTTTCCTCCTTTATGTCTGCAGTCAAGATTTTCAAGAGGCCTCCCTTGGTCAAATCTGAACTTTATTTTGAAGGAATCCATAACTTTTTATTTCATGTGGAAACAAAGGCACAACCTCTCCCCCAACACAACACATTTCCTGATTTCCATTCTGATGTTAAAGATCTCCTTAAAATATATAGACTGGTTTAATTCAGCAGTTTTCATAATCCAATGCTCTTAGCAGCTGTTGTTTTATTTTCCTTCATACAAACTTTTGAGTTTTTCTGACTTATTTTTTTCCAAACGTTTAAAGATTTACTTATTTTTATTTTTAATTACGTGTCTGTATTTGGGTATGTCTATGTGAGTACAGATGCCCTCAGGGGCTAGAAACCTTGGCTCTCCTGTAACTGGAGTTACAGCTGGTTGGGAGCTACCTGATTTGGATGCCAGAATTGAACTCTGGTCCTCTGCAAGAGTGTCGTGTGCTCCTAACTGCTGAGCTACATCTTCATCCCAAGTTTTGGTGACTTCTAAAACATCCTTTTGTTTATTTACTTGGCAAGTATTTTCCAAGGTCTTAAATGTGTTTATAAATAATCTTCTGTGGTGTTTTGAAAGAAAATGGCTCTAAAGGGAGTGGCACTATTAGGAGATGTGGCTTTGTTGGAATAAGTGTGGCCTTGTTGGAGGAAGTTAACTGTGATAGTGGGCTTTAAGGTCTGCTTTGCTCAAGCTACACACAGCGAGACAGTTCACCTCCTATTGCCTGTGGATCAGGATGCAGCACTCTCAGATCCTTCTCCAGCACCTTGTCTGCCTGCATGATCTCAGGTCGCATCATGATGGTCACAGACTAAACCTCTGAAACTGTGAGCCACCCCAATTAAATGTTTTCCTTTCTAAGAGTTGCCATGGTCGTCTTGCCTCTTCACAGCAATAGAAACCCTGAGGCAGCGTCTGTCACTTACTGAACTCTTAGTGTGCTGCCTAACTGTTTGGGCAATGATGTGTGTTGTTCATATGTGATGTTGGTCCTGGGAGATTATGCTACCTCACTAGTGGTGTCTTAGTGCTCTTAGTTTAAGAGCACATTGTGATGTTCACAAAATGAAGAAATCCGTTGATGAGGATCTCAGAATGTGCACCTGCCTTTAAGTGACATGTGACTGTAGTTCATGGAAACTTATGTAATTCACAGCTGTCTGTGGGGTAGATATGTATTTAGCTTCTATCTACAGATGAGCAAAGAATTGCGCAACACATCTAAAATTACAGAGTTCAAACATTGCATCTCACAAATATCAGGCTAATGGAAATGAAAAAGGCTTGGGCCAGGCTGTCAGGGGGCTTGGGTGGTTTTTTTGTTTGTTTGTTTCTGTTTTTTATGACAGGGCTTCTCAGTGTAGCCGTGGCTGTCCTGGAACTTGCTCTGCAGACCAGGCTGGCCTCGAACTCACAGGGGTCCACCTGCCTCTGCCTCTGGAGTGCACCACCACCACCACCTGGCATCTTGGGTGGTTTATAGACAGACTGTTGTAATATGTGAGTTGTCTTTCTGGGGGGAAAAATGAAGGTTCAGTGAGAGAACAGAGCCCCAAGCACTCTTGGGCAATGTGGTGTGATTGCAGGGGGCAGTGGACAAGGGAATGCAGGGTGGGGAGAACCCAGGGCGGTTGGTTGTGTTGAGAGCTTCAGGACCTTTGGTATTGCTGATTGGAACGGTGTGTGTGTGTGTGTATGTTCAGAGTACCTTGTATTCTAGAACCAAATGTTTAGCCTTCTTCCTGAAGGAAATAGCTTGGACATTGACCAGGATTCTTAGAAGGGAATCAGTTCTGATGTGCACTGTGGAGAACATGATTCCCCCAAATCATCTCCCCTGGATCTTGATTTTATAACAGCCTAAGAGCAGCATGATTGTTTTAGCTGAAGTTAGTTGGAAGACAAAGGTGATGGGACTTTGCTCAGAGTGGGCTGGTTGGCTTGACTCGGTAGATTTTCATCACTATCCAGCCTTTTCCTGAGGTTCACCAGTCAGGCATAGTTGGCTGTTTTAAGGAGGCCCTGGGAGTGGGGCCTGCGGTTAACTCTGTGCAGCGATGGGAATGATCTAGGGCGTGTTTCTAAAGTGTCTCCATTTCCTACCACAGGGTCATGCTCTTTAAGCTCTCAGAAGAAGTGACCAAGTCAGAATTGAAATCTTTTAAGTTTTTTTTGAATGAAGAGATTCCTAAATGTAAGCTGTATGATGATAACTCGGTAAGACCTGGTATGTCCTTGAGATGGGTCACCACTGGTGGATCTGAGATCAGAGGGGACTGTTCTGCCAACAACAAACTGTATTCAAGGTTGTTTCCACTTGTTTGTTTGTGCTTTCATTTGTTTGTTTGAGACATGGTATCATTAGCCCAGGTTGAACCCAAACCTGCAATATAGCCAAGGATGGCCTTAAACTTCTGGTCTTCCTGTCTTCACCTCTTGGGTGAGGGATTACTGGCATGTGGCACCACTCTCAGTTTCTGTGGTTCCAGGATGGAATTCAACAGCTTTTGCATGATAGGCAAGCACTCTACCAGCTGAGCTATACCTTAGTCCCCATGTTCTCACTTCTTACCTGGGGAAAGTAAAGTAGTGAGGCAGGGTAGTAGTTATTTATGGCTTTGATGCCTTGACACTGTAAAGTGCTACTACTCAGCCATGGGGCAGACCCAGGAGACAGAGTAGGCAAGTTGGGCAGTGCCACAATACATGGGACCAAGCAGGGCCAGGGAGGAAATGCAGCCTGGGGTCACATCTTCCTCACCTCTGCTGCTTTTGAAATGTCACGTTTGCTTGTTTGTTTGTTCCCCCAGTGTGTGGTATGTGTCTTTATGAGTAGGTTGTATGATGTATGTGTCTGTGTCTACATGCTGTGTATATTGTGTGTGTGCTTCTTTTTTCTTCTAATACATTATTTAATATCTTACTATGTTACCTCTCTCTAATATACTCAGTGCCTCAGTGACAATAATGTCATCCAGGCCCCCACAGGAACTACAGTGGGGAAATGAATACACAGTTTGCCTATAATAAGCCCACTCCAACTTCCCTTCTGTTTTTAGGTTTCCTTTTTATTAATTTTTTTACATTCCAATCCCAGTTCCCTCTCCTTCCTCTCCTCCCGGGCACCTCCCATCTGCTCCTCAGACAGGGTAAGGCCTCCCCTAGGAAGTCTACTAAGTCTGTCTCATCATCTCACTGAGGTGGGATCAAGGCACCACCTACCCGCTTCCCTGTGTCTAGGTTAAGCAAGGAATCTCTCCATATAGAACGGCTCTACTAAGTCAGTTTGTACATTAGAGTTAGATCTTGGATCACTGCCAGTGGCCTCATATACTGTCCCAGTCACACCATTGTCAGGGAGTCTAGTTCAGTCTTATGCAGGTTCCCCATTTGTCAGACCTGAATCAGTGATCTCTCACTAGCTCGGGTCAGCTGATTCTGTGGGTTTCCCCATCATGGTCTTGACTCCTTTGTTCATATTATAGCTCCTCCCTCACTCGAGGAGCTTGGCCCAATGGTTAGTTGTGGATTTCTGCATCTGCTTCCATCTGTTTCTGGAAGAGGGTTCTGTTAGCTTCTCTGGGGTTGTGGATTGTAGGCTGGGTATCTTTTGCTTTATGTCTGGTATCCACTTATGAGTGAGTACACACTACATTTGTCTTTCTGGGTCTGGGTTACCTCACTCAGGATTATTTCATACCATTGAGTAGTACTCCATTGTGTAAATGTACCACCTTTTCTTTATCCATTCTTCAGTTGAGAGACATCTATGTTGTTTCCAAGATCTGGCTATTATGAATAAGGTTGCTATGAACGTGTGTGTGTGTGTTGTGTGTGTGTGTGTGTGTGTGTGTGTGTGTGTGTGTGTGTGTGTGTTTGTGTTTGTGTGTGCTTCTTATGTATATGTGTGGCATATGTACCTGTGTGTGTGGTGTATACCTCTGCGTCTCTGTTGGTCTGAGTCTACCTATGTGTAGTACATATGTGTATGGGTTTCTCCCCACCCCACCCCCCGGTGTGTGTGTGTGTGTGTGTGTGTGTGTGTGTGTGTGTGTGTGTGTGTGTGCTTTTGTGTGCTGTGTGGTGTATTGTAATTCTGATGTTTGCTTTGTCCAAGTGTATCTTTGTACATTTGTTTAGTGTGGGTGCATACGAGCGCACATGAACACGTGTGTACATGCTCATGGCCTCTCTGTGTGTGTTTGGTGCCCTGCACATGTCTCTCTCTCTGTATGTGCATTCGCTGAGGTTTAGAGGTGGATAAGGCAATGCCAGAGTATAATGCAGTCTCCAGGGCTGTTCTTCCCACACTCCTCCAGGCTGGTCCATAGATGAAGGCTTCCACAGATAGTTTGGGAACAAGGCCTGGGGACTGGTGACATCTGACATGGCTTCTCTTTTTTTTCTATGTTTTTATCCTTTTAGGCCAGAAAACACAGAATGGCCTTCCTGATTACTGTCAACTTTGAGGGATCAGTATGTGCTCAGGGGTGGGAGGGCGATCTCTGTGGGAAATAAGACTGGGCTCTTGCTTTGGAAGAAGTGGAATTAAGGAAACAAAAACCTAGTTCCCAGGCCTGAGCACTCAATCCATTTGTCCCTTGCTCTCTCCTCCCCAGAGCCTGCTTGATATTTTTGTGGAAATGGAGAAGAGAGTCATCCTGAGGGAAGAAAACTTGGATGCCCTGAAATCAATCTGTGCCCAGGTCAACAAGAGCCTGCTGGAGAAGATTGAGGCTTATGAAAAATCAAGCAGAGGTAGACAGCTGATGGTTATGAGGCGGCAAAGCCTCCAGAGCCACAGCTGTTTCTGATCTAGCTCTTCCTTTTGAATGCAGGGAGAATGAGCCTTGAAGGAGGGGCAGAGTCGCCAGTTTCAGTTTTAGATGGTAAGACTTCCAGATTCATTTCTTTGATGCCGAGGCACTTAATTCCCTCTTACTCTCTTCCCACCACCTTCTGCCATAGCCTAATATCAGGATGAAAGTTTGGTGGTCACTTGTCACCCCTGCGGCTCTCTGGGAGATAAAAAGAATTTGCAAAAGCCCTATGGGAACATTTGAAATGAGCACAGTTATTCTACAAGTGGGTCTTAAATCTGTTCTGGCTGTGTCTTCTTTTCCTTTGAGATGTGGGTAGCTAGATTCAAATAATTTTCCAGAATATTCTTGTGTTTTGATTTGTTTGAGACAGCCTTGGCTGTCTTGGAACTCTCTACGTAGACTAGGCTGTCCTTGAAATCACAGAAACTGGCCTGCCTCAAGTGCTAGGGTGAAAGGCATGTGCCATATCACACCTGACTTTTTTTTCCCAGAACATTCTTGATCAAAGCTTTTGGCTTTGGGAGAGGCCCTTTGGCCAAGTGTTCATAGTTCTTCTCTGTTAAGTCCAGGCTCCCACTGCCCCTGAATTCCTCCACCATGTGGCTGCCCCAGCCTGGGATGCTCCAGCCATATTCCCTGCCTTGACTACTGAGCTGTCTCTCCAGCCCCCTCCAAATTTTTTATTAATCAAATATTCTGACTATAAAAATCATATGTGTTCCCTTGGGGGTGATTCTTAATTTTAGAGAAAATGTGAACAGCACCACCAGTCTGTAAACATTAATACTGGTAATAGCCTTCTTATGTTTTCACTATTGTTTTTGCTGTGTAATACATTTTGGAGCACTCTGCTTATTTACTTTAAGTTCACATGTAAGTGCATGTGGGTGAGTGAGTTTATGCACTCCACATTTATGCAGAAGCCTGGCTATGTCAGAAGGCAGCATCAGATCCCCTGGAAATGGAGTTGCGGTGCTTGTGACTGTGAGTGCTTGGAATCTCTGGCCCTCTGCAAAGAGTGACAAGCTCTCTTCCACTCAAGGATCACCCTCCTTTAGAAATGAGGCCAAGTACCAGCCAGTTCTTCCCTCTATTCATGCCTACCTGAGCCCAGCAATTTCCGAGTACCTTTGGAAAGTTTGAGTCAGGGACTGACTCATACTGACCTCTTGCTTTGATCAGACCCACCGCACAAACAAGGCAGTTTGCACTTGGGTTTCCAGAAGCATGCTAAATGCCCTTCCTACAAGATCTACACATATGAAATATCCTCAAGGCAGTTTCAATGATTATTTTTAAAAGGACCGGCCTGTGGGGGCCGGTGACTTACATTAGTAGGTAAAAGTGCTACTTTCAGGCCCAGTGAAAGGGGAAGGAGGGAACCAACTCCTCAAAGTCCTCTTTGATCCCCACACATGAGTGCTCCCTACATCAGGCATGTGTGCGTGAATGTTCATATGCATGCATGCATGCACGCAAGTATGTTGACATGAAATGTTTTAAGGTCCTTAGGTTGTCCCAAGCGTTACATATTTCTTTACCGCCAAGCCCCTCATTCTGGATACTTTTCTTGGTTGCTTGCAGGGGAGAGTTACTTCAGAATGCAGGAAACGTGGGACTCCCAAAGAGAACAAGACAGCGACTCACAGGTACACCTCCTTGCTCTCTCTGCATGGAAGTTTCTGTCTCTTGTGTTTGTTAGCTCCTTTTAAGCTTCCAGATAAGCTAATAAGGGGGTGGAGCCTTTTGGAAATTTTGAGAACTCTGAGGAAGAAAAACCTACAAAAGAACCAGTTTTTTTTTTTTTTTTTTGGTGTTAAATTATGTATCACTATTATCTCTGTTCAGTTTGTTTGTATTCTGAGACCGGGTCTCCTATAGCTCAGACTGGCCTTGAACTCATTATGTACCTGAGGATGACCTTGAACTCCTGATTTCCCTGACTTTACTTCCCAAGTGCTGGGATTATAGGTATGGGTCACCACATAGGCTCTAATTTTATTATAAGGCACAGGAATTGTTGGAAGGTAGAAAGTGTGTGAGGCCTCCCTCTTGTTCTAGCAGCTGTGTCAGCTAAAATGAGTGCTTGTGGGGGAGGGGGTGAGGCTTCGAGAACAATGGCTGCTTTGGTGGGGGTGGGGTGGGGTGGGGGAGTTGCTCTATCAGGCTTCTCTTTTAGCCTGACATTGCAGAGGGATCCCCCCTTTGTGTTAGGCAACAAACAGGATCTCAGCAAGTCTTAGTTTTCATCTCAGGGAAGCCTGTAGAAAGATTTCCTTCCTAGACGTAGCTTCTATTTATAGTCTTCAATAATTCACCGATTACAGTTCAGCCCATTAGCCTCCTCCCCGTGGCAGGAAGCACGAAGCGTCTGGACACTTTGAGAAAGGATATGCACTAGGGTGGCCTTCTGAGAAGATTCTCAGGCCTTGTTCTCAGGTCCAGAAATCAAGAATTAGTCAACATCATATGTTACTTTGAGATGGTCTGGCACTCTACAGTATTGTCCTCTCCAAACAGCTAAATATATCATGTGAATATCTTATTAACTGCCTGTATTACAATATCCCAATAAATCTACTTAATATAAATAGGAGATACTTAGGATAATAACAAATACTGAATATACCCTGTGTTTAATAAAGTACCTTATGTCACAGAAAACATTGAAAAGTGAAGGATTTGTACAATATGAAGAGGAGCTCAGTGTGCTATAAATTGTTAAACACTAGATTAGCTAAATTGCCCAGAGTCCTAAGGTTTTAAGCCTTAGAAGCTGGCTTTTGTCCCCTAGTCTTGGGTTCTTTTCTGTATACTTCAGGAGACAGCACGGACTTCCAACTAAATACTGGGACTCTCAGCTTGAAACAGCCCTAAGAGAAAAACAAGTATTCAGGCCCTCTGGTGTTTACTGTCAGGATTCCATAAACACAACTTGAGTAGTTCCTTGCTCTCCACCTGCTGCCCAGTTCCTTTGCAGTGGCTTAAGGCATCAGCTTTAACCAGAGAGACTGCACTATATCATGTGCGAAGGGCAAGTCCCTCGCTGTTAGCCAAGAAAGGCAGATGAGCTGAGTAGACCCCAGAAAGATTGCCAAGGTCATGGAGGGCCGTCCCAAGAGGTCACCGTTGAGTGAACTCTTAAAGTCCCACATGTTATCTGGCCTGAAGCTCTTCTGGATGCTGAGGGAAGCTGAAGCAAGCACAGTGGTAACAAACTGTGATAATATCAGGGATGTATGTGACATCTGGGGCACTTAGCAGGCCCAGGTCCCCTTACTGTACAGCTCATGAGAGGCTGTGCAATCGGAGGAGCAGAAAGTAGCTTTTCAACAAGATGACCCCAAATCTGGCTGGAGTAACGGAAGGAAGCAATGCTTCCCAGGGGAGCTAGGCAGGGGTCTAGCCTCTTCCTGGGCAGTTGTTACTTACAGGCTGGTATCTGAGCTACAGCGTCAGCTCCCCAGACTCGGCTTTTGTTTTCCAGGTATCACACAGAATTTACCAAATGAAGAGCAAACCTCGGGGATACTGTCTGATCATCAACAATAATGATTTCAGTGAGGCGAGGAAGAACATACCCAGATTCCACAAAATGAAGGACAGAAAAGGAACAAACTACGATGAAGGTACAGCCAAATCCAAAGAAGAGGCATGAATAATTTTTAATTCCTGTGGTGCTTTTAAAAAGAAGAGACAATAGTCCTAAAGGGCCCTATATTTTGAGAAATGGAGTCATGGTTCAAGAAAATCTATCAAGCATTTATTTTTATTCATTTTATTACTATTTCCTTGTGGAGGTAAAAGAACATTCTTACATATCTGTTCTGAGTTTTGTAATTAGGTTTAAAATCAAAGTAATATATACATTGTGATAAAATGACAACTCTTACTAAAAACTTTGTAATGAAGAGCATGAGTGAACTTTAGAAATTTTTAAGTTTTATTTCACTTTTTATTCATGTGTATATGCCTCTATGTGAGTATGCCCATGTGTGTGTGGATGCCCCTAGAGTCCAGAAGAGAACATCAGGTCCCCCTGGAGCAGGAGCTGGGAACTGAACCTGGGTCCTCTGCAAGAACTCTTCACCGTTGAGCCATCTCCCCTGCCCTGAGTTTTCCTTTTAACTCACTAAATGAAAAGTGTTTCTGTAGAATGAATTAGTCCAAAAAATTGCTGTGGTATCAGAGTAACTGCAGGGATTTTGCTCATAAAAGTTATTCCATTGCAGCAGGAGTTGTGAGTGCCCAACAAAATGCTAAACTATCCAGAAATGTTTGGAGCAGCCTATCAATAATTCATAATATAAGAATATAAAAAATGGGGGCTGGAGAGATGGCTCAGTGATTAAGAGCACTGGCTGCTCTTCTGGAGGACTCAGGTTCCCAGCACCCACATGGCAGTTCATGGTTGTCTGTAACTCTAGCTCCAGGTGATCTGATACCTTCACAGACATACCTGCAGGCAAAACCCCAATGCATTTGAAATTAAAAAAATAAAAAGAATTATTTAAAAATAATTAAAATGACAATAACTAAAAATATTAATAGAAATCATCCAAACCAGCCGTTTGAACTTATGAGCCAAGATATCAGTTAATGACTTCTTTCTTAAACTGAGTAAAGTTTGGAAAGTTAGTGTAGACTGACCATACTCATCGGGACATGTAATGATCTCTGTTTCCATGTGATTTGCTTATGCAGAAAGATATTTAAAAGCTTCTAAATTGGAGGCCAAAGGTCAGCATACACTGGGTATTGAAACTAAATTTCAACCCTTTTTTTATTCATTTGTTCTTTTTCTATTAAGACCACATTTGAAAGTAAACACATCAGCACATGCCTATCATCCCAGCTCTGCAAAGCTAAAGGCAGGGAATTAGGAGTTCAAGGTCATTCTCAGTTACAAGTAAGTGGTAGGCCAGCCTGGGCTACGTGAGACAAAAGGAGGATGGATTGTATTTTATTCCATTTCTGTATTTTTCTTGGACTTGACTTTGGTGACTGGGTCTGTGACCTAGATTTGGGGTTGTGTGGCTTGTCTTCCTGTTCTTGTACTCAATACTCCATATTGATGCTGCTGTGTTGTTTTCTGTGACACTTGACTACAGTGCCTTCTGAACTACTTTGTGGTCATTTTTTTCCATCCACTTCCCACATTCCAAAGGAATCCCAAACTTTCCACAGAACCAAAGCTCTCATGGTTTGTCAAAGTTCTTCAGCCCCGTAACGATCATTGCATCCCAGTTTTATTCTCTATTCCTGATGTTAGACCATCTCCTGACAGATGATGCGTATTTAGCTTTGGTAGAAAGAAAACCAAAAAGATTATTCCAGGACTGGGAGAATAGGAATGGACACAAGAGCTGATAAAAGGTTTTGGAAATGAGAGGAGAGACAGTGTATAAAACAGAGCAAATGGGAGGTACAATCTAAGTGATTGTGGAGGAAAGTACAACAGAAACAAACCTACTTACTCCACAGAGTCCTGAAAGAATTGAGGAGTCAGAAGTACAAGGTTTAGGTGAAGCAATGAGCTACAGAGGGAGGGTTTGTTGAACACTTACAGAAGACACAATGAACCCTAGATCTGCCACCTAGAGACAGATTGCGTTTTACCCTCATACAGAGCAGAGAGAGGGCACGCTCATAAAGTTTAGCCAGAAAGACTCTAGATTGGGGAACCAGGTCATGCAAAGGAAGCAGTGTAGCACCGTGTTGAAAAGAGATAGTAAAGAACACATAATGTACTGGATACAGGAAGTTAGGTTTCTAACTCAAGTTGACCCCAGAACACTGTAGATATGGGTTGTCATCTACAGATAATGAGATCTGGTGATATCCTAGTGAAACGGGCAGTGCCCCATCCAAGCAACCGGCTGCAAAATCCCTCAGTGAGTAGCCACACTCCAGATACAAAGCTTTCTGCCAATGTTTTAGTTGATCAGTTAGTCAATATCAAAGAAAGGAAATGCAATCAAGAAAAGAAAATACAGCTGTGTAAATGAAGCTAACACATTGCAGAGAAAAACCTTTAAAATCTGTACTTAACATTCTCACAGAGATTCATAAAAAAAGATTAGCGAAATGGTATGAAAAGAGAAGGAATCATTAAAAATGAAGTGTATAGAAACATTGGTCTGGGGAGATGACTCAGCAGTTAAGGGCACTGGCTGCACATTCAGAGGACCTGGGTTCAAGTCCGAGCACCTCACGGCAGCTTACAACCATCTCTATATAACTCCAATTCCAGGGGATCTGATGTCTTCTTCTAGCCTCTGCAGGCTCCAGGCATGCATGTAGTACACACACAAACATGCAGGCAAAACACCCATACATACAAAATGATAATTTAAAAAATGTAAAATAGATGAGCAACAATACAAGTGTGGGAGGCAAAGTCTCAGAAGGTTGGACAGAAAGAAAATGGCAATGGAAAGTGGGAACCAATGGGTAAGAAAGCACAAGTACTAGTCAAGGATGCCTGACCTGTGACCATGAGTTCCACAAAAAGAGAACAAGGAGCAGAACTATCCAAGAAGACAATGAGCAGTCTTCAGGCTGCAAGAGCTCACTGTATCTTAGAAACCGAGGAGGGAAGAAAGGGAGGAAAAGTCAAATATATAAAGCAGCCATGGATCAAAATATCATTGGATGTCATAGTGAATCTGGAAGCTAAGGTGACAATTCAGAGGGTAGGGGCTTTTGGAAAGAACACTCTCTATAGCCAAACAGAAAGAATCGTGATATAAGAGCTCAACAAACTTGTGTTTTGTGCACAGTGCTTTCGGTAGTAAACATTAGACACCTATAGAGTCCAGTTAGTAGGATAGAGGACCTTGCCCAAGCTCTACCACCGGCCTGCCAGTGTTTTATCCATCTTGAGCTGTTTTCTGGGAACTGTTGTAATATATGGTTTCCCCTTTCCCTTTCAGAGGCATTGACTGAGACCTTTAAAGAGCTTCATTTTGAGGTCAAGCCTTACAGAGACTGCACAGCCAATAAAATCCATGAGGTTCTAAGATTCTACCAAAGCATGGACCACAAGGACAAGGACTGCTTCATCTGCTGCATCCTCTCCCATGGAGACACGGGCATCATCTACGGCACTGATGGGAAGGAAGCCCCCATTTATGAACTGACATCTTATTTCACTGGTTCAGAGTGCCCTTCCCTGGCTGGAAAACCCAAAATCTTTTTTATTCAGGCTTGCCAAGGGGATAACTACCAGAAAGCTGTACTTGTTGAGACTGACTGGGAAGAGATGGTCAGCTTCTTAGACGTGGACTCATCTCAAAAGAGCTATATTCCAGATGAGGCTGACTTTCTGTTGGGGATGGCTACTGTGAAAAACTGTGTTTCCTACCGAGATCCCACGCAGGGAACCTGGTACATCCAGTCACTTTGCCAGAGCCTGAGGAAAAGATGTCCTCAGTGAGTTTTGCCTTCTGGGTCCTTCTCAGGTTTACACTGCCTTACTCACCGCCATAGTCAGAGTCCATTAGGTGTTTGTGGTTGAGATAATATGTACCAAGCAGAGAAATACCCATGGGGAGTGTTTCATCTTTGAATGGAACTCACATAGCTGTGTTTTCCAGGTCAGTTGCAAAGTGGAAGAGATGGCACATATTGCTCTCTTTAGTTCATGGATGGGAAAGACTAATATATTTATTGAGGAGTTTCCTTTATTCAGCAGCCAGGGCACCATAGAGCTGGAGAGGACACTAATATCACACAATCCTACTCTCTGTCTTTGGGCAGCAACATGACAGAGGCAATCCATCTGCTTTGAGGAGTCTTCTAAGATGAAAGCAATCCACTTTAACCTATTTGAACCTTGTTAGAAGTCCTGTTCTAGGGTTGACAAGATGGCAAGGTGGGTAAAGGCACTTTCTGCCAAGCATGATGATTTGAGTTCAATCCTAGGACCTACATGGTGGAGAGAATTCTTTCCAGTTATCCTATACCTCCACATGTATGCCCACCCCCACACACAGATAAGTAAATACAAATTTTTAAAAATCAGAAAGAATTCAATAGCTATCTAGCCTTCACTCTTCTTAGCAAACTGTGGAAAGTAGTGAAGAGTAGAGACCCTTATGTTTTTACTAATTTGATCTGCTTTTAAGCCACAAATGTGGGACCAGGGCCCTATGTCGTCTGGTCCATCTTCAGTTAAATTAGGGCTCCATGTATTTTGGGTTCCCCACATGCACACCAAGCTGACAGCTGAACACTGAGGAGCCCTTCTATAGGATTCTTTTAGATCTGTGTCTTGTTTCCAATGTATGAAGAGTGAGAATTCCCCATGGCATGTGGAGAGTAGACCATAACATCAGTGTGGGGGTTTCTTTTGTAACACAGACTGTGAGTCTGGCAGGATCTGTGTCAGCTACACAGAGACATAAAGAGGTTGCCCAACAAGATTGCTCAGACAGTTGGTGACAGAGGGGTGGAGATGGCTGCAGAAAGCTCTTGACTTTCACATTTTGGTAGAAATCTGTGCATGATTCTATAGGAGCAATGCTGATCTAGGTAGAGGTCATTGGGAGATGTTGAGGTATTTGTGGGGTCCAAATGACAGTCCGTGGGACAGAGCAAGGAATGCACATATTAGGAGGGAGGAGGTCAGTTCTGATGGGAATGCTGAGGTTTCTTGTAATCAGCAGAGATCCCAAGTAAACAGAAGGTAATTCAGTGTGCTTTGAAGAAAGTGGTTAGCCAGGACAGTTGTGGTAGGTCTTGATTCAGTGACTTGTGAGAGACAGAGCTAGAGGACTTGGGCACAGCTGGCAAGACCTTGGGTACTGCTGTGTTCCCCTGATCAGCACCAGTGTTGCTTTGTTTTTCAGAGGCGACGATATTCTCAGCATCCTGACTGGTGTGAACTATGATGTGAGCAATAAGGATGACAGAAAGAACATGGGGAAGCAGATGCCTCAGCCCATCTTCACACTACGGAAGAAGCTGTTTTTCCCTCCTAAGTGATGTGTGCTCTACATGGTTGACATTATGTCAGTCTATGCACTTTTGTTTGGGGGGAGGGGTGGGTTTTAATTTATTTTTTATGATTTCTTTTATTTTGAGATATTATATCATTTACCTCTTCCCTTTCCTCCCTGAAAAGTTGGAATTTGAAGTCCAAAGCAGAAGCTTGATAAATGGAACATCAGTTCTAAGTAAGGTGGCACTCTGAAGCCAGGAAGGTTGTACGCTAACCTTACTGGCTTCTATTTACTAGCTCCATGTCTGTCTGACAGAACGTTTAATTTCTGTAAACATTAGGCTCCACATCAGTAAAGTAGGAGCAATGAATTTCTAGATCAGCAAAGCCCTTAGCACAGGCATGGTATGTGCTAAATGCTCAGCAGCACTCTGGCCATTTTACTGTTTCTTCCTAGTTGAAATGGATGTGTTCCCATTCTGACGCCCTGTAAACAGGGATTGTGTTCATTATTTCTGTGGTTACTGGTGGGTATTAAAGGTGGGTGAATGCTGGTCATGGTGTGTAGGCTCTTGTGTCCTGGAACAAAAACCTGAACAGAGACAATGGCAGTTTGTAAGCTAGAACACACTTCCGAGACAGCAAGTGGGCCAGCTGGGAAGAGGGTTCACACATATTCATGGAGTGTGAAGAATGGCTTAGGGAGAGTAGTGACTTTCAAGTTCTACATTTTCATATTATTTACAACAAAAGCACCACCATACACAGTACAAATTTTCTGGACAAAACAGGTTAGTTGCGAATACGGACACAAAACTACTGTGACAGCATACACAAGCCTGTGCAAGCTCAAACCACACAAAGTCCCAGCATGGAGGTGGGGATGTGGGCATGAAGTCCAGTCAACATCTTATAGCTGCTAAGAAAGGGAGGGAGAGTCAGTTGTTTGTGTTTGTTTTTAAATGATATGACCTATGGCAGGCCAATCATACTTCAAAAGGGCCTCACTCCCAACAAATTGGATTCCATGGGTTTACAAAAAGAAAACCTGAATTTGAGTGTGTAGGAAAAGTAAGATGGGAGAAAGTAGATCTGGGACAAGTTGGGGGAAATTCTATATGAAATTCTCAAAGAAGTAATTAA